GAATTCTGTTTCATTCCTTATCTTTTTTTTTGGTTGGAGTGTCCGTGTCATAATGCGTTTATTTCTCTTGTGCAATATATGTTCTTGTTTCGCTCTGCAAGATGAACGAAAAAACATAATCTAGAATCAAAGTGTTCACGTTAATCTCACAAACTTCCTCTTTTCTCCCTCCCTTTCTCTCCTTGCACCTCGCCCTCACCTTCCCACTTCTTTCGCACCGTTATCATCTCCCCAACTTCCTCCCTCCCTCCCTCCCTCCGTCCCTCCCCTCCTCCAGTCGCCGGACCTAACCCCGGTCCTCCAAGCCGTGACCCTCGCCCTGACGCAGCTGTTCCCAAGGGCGAGGTACAGAGCCGTTGACTGCTACTACTTGGTCAAGGTCCTGTGTGCTGTTCACCTGCCGGAGTGGCTCTTCGACCTCGTGTACCAGGGGCGGCCTCCCTCCCTGCGCTGTCGAGGGCGGCTGCTTCAGGGCAAGCCGGAGTAATCCATTGTGTAAACTAATATTTATTTATTTATTGTTATTAGTTTGGCACTTCTTGGCTGGTGCCCAAGACGGAGGAATCCATTATAAAGGCGGAATAATAAGCTATTGATTCATCATTATTTTTGTGTCTTGGTGGTGGTCTTTTCGTAACTTTCCTGTTGTCGGCTGGTACTAATACGAAATCGGTGAAACATTTTTTTTCGACCTTATATTTATCTATTTTTATTATTATATTATCATTATCATATATATATATATATATATATATATTTTTTTTTTTTTTTTTTATAGTTTTGATTTTTAATACATTTCAATTTTGATAATTTCTACAAGGGTTGGGAATATTTTATTCACTTATCTATTTTTCATTTTTTTCCACTTCCCTATCATCAGCCGGAGGTTAAGAACAGGGCGGAGTACTGGTTCGTCTTTTCATTTTTTTTCTCTTGTCAATGGCTTTCTGTGATTATTTTTTCTTCCATGTTGTTTTAGCCGCTGATTAAAAAGCCTGTTGGAAGTGATATATTCGTATCCAAATTTTCATTATTCTATGCGATCGGGTGTATATCTAAACTTTTTTTTTTCTGACAGACCATTTTGACTTTACTGAAGGCCGAAAATTTTATCCTAATGGATGTAATTGGTCCATTAGATAACCGTTTTATTTCAAAAGTCTAGGAGTAAAATTGCGCTTTGGTTAGATAGATGCACTTGTTAAAATCACCGTAGAAATGCGATGAAGCCTTGTTATCTCCTCGGCATTACCCTTTGTGATTCTTAGTATCTGTGCATAAAAGCTTTCCTGTTATGCAGGAGTCCGCGCATAAGATAGAAAGATAGATAGATATATAGATAGAGAGAGGGGGGAGGGAGGGAGGGAGGGAGGGAGAGGGAGAGAGCGAGAGAAAGAAACATGCTTACTCCACTAAAAACTGATTTTCGTCTACCTAAGTACCGATTAGATAATTGTCGTAAACACTGATTTACCAGTCTATGCTTGGAAAAATGGTTTGTATAAAACAATAGACTTTCATAAGTTCTTTCAGTAGCAAAATCAAATCGCAATATGACATCGTCCAAGCTAATATTTTTCTTCTGGAATCGGTAAAATTTGTCCTTGAATGCATGCACGATGCTTCTAAAACGTGCGAGATACTATGGCGCCAACAAACCAGGGAACACTTGGATACACCGCTGCGTGATTGCTTATCTACATGATAGCTCAAGCTAAGACCAGAGCTGACATTGTGAATCCTATCATTTTTTATCTTTCCTGAAATAGGGAAAATATATCGGGTTGTTAAAATATAGAAAGAAAATTAAAATATATAAATGTATAACCAAAGTATTGTTTTACAAAACTGGATAGCAAAAACGGTCTGTCACGTCTGTGACATGAGAGTGAAATCCCATACAGGTTATGAGACTCATGTCCAACGGGTAAATATGCGATACGAGTCTTGTAGGTGTATGAAGACCCCCTACTACTTCTTAAAACGTTTTAGTAGAGGGTTATGACGTTTGGAGGACGTGGTGGTGCCATAGAATGCAGTTGTACAGTACAAAAAAAGGAAAACAAAAAGCAAGCGTTGAGGATCGGAAAAAGGAAAAGGCTAGGCGTGTCCCACCGGATGGAGCTAGTCAGAAGTCGACGCGAGGGATTACATGTCAGTTGGTGACGTAGGAGGAAACACCATTACGCGGAAAAAAGGTCTAGTAGAAGGCCTGTTAGAAGACGTCAGTTTCGAAATCCTGTATTTCATGTTTAGGGGCTTCGAATAGCAGGATTTTCTGCCAGAGCTGTATGTTGCACACGAGAGGACGGCCTTTTTCGTCGTGACTTTGTTTTGAGTACAACCGTGTGGTATATTAATTCTTTGTTCATTTTATGTAAAACAATATTATTTGAACTTGTTTTTATGTTTTCGAAATATGATTTTGGTTCTTGGGTATTTAATCTAAGGTGCAATCAGTCACGGAAAAGTCTAGATCAATAGCAACTCGAGGTGTCATGGCGTCTGTTTTGATGATGGTTCCATGAAAATATGACCATTAAAATCATTACTTTCTATCCTTTTTGAAAATTGAAAAGACCAAAATGATCGACCATATTCACAATGCATCCGTAACTTTTGTGACGTCACGTGCTTTTTTCCAAAAATAGAATCGGACGCAATGACACCTCGAGTTGCTCCTGACCTAGCCTTTCCCGTGCAAGTCACTCTGAAAAGGCGGGTCGACTGTTCGAAGCTTCAAGACGGCTCACTCATTGTCTTCCAAAACAGCATTCCAGTGAGATACGAATCACGACTTGCCTTTGGTTTTGGAAATGACAATGCTTTTTAGAATGATAGGAAGCTTACAAATCCATTCTGAGTTTTAACATGTCACAATGAACCTTTTAAGGGTGACTATACTTTGGTTGTTATTCAAACGGTCAGGGGTGTAGCACGGAAAGGTCACCTGGGTCCCCCCTCCAATTTACAAGATTTTTAAAGAGTTGTTATTTATTGCAAATTGATTCACCCTTAACAATATTTGATAAAACATGCAATTTTAGTAGGGTATATCCTTAATACACTTTTAAAATCTCACAGATTGTCATCAAAACTGATCAGTTTCCACTGAACCATCGTCCCTGTTCACGTGTGTTTTGCCAATGATTTAATCATTACCTCTATTCATCAATAATTTGATTAAGGGGGTTAACGTTGATACATATAAAAAGGTATAAAAGGATGAATAACTCCATAATATAATCAAACATTTATCGCACTGTATTTCAACATCTTTGGTAAAGAGTAAATCATTGAAACCTTGATATTTTGTATCTTGGAATTATTCACTCCCACCTCAAGGTTATCCACACATCACACAGAATTCCCAGGCTACACTAGGGCTCAGACCTGTGATTTTTACCAATGGTTGTGTAGTGTGTAAACTTTATTCTTTTCTTTAACCAATGAACGTTCCTGCTTGCTACCTACTTTGTGTATATGTGTATGCTTATCAAGTCATGTATTTTCTTATATTAAAGAGGACTGATTCATCTTTCGTATTGTTTCCTATTGCGATACCGAGACAGAACGTGGCATGTAACATTTCTATCTTCATAACTTTCTTTAAAAGAAGAACAAATCCACATATTAATTCCAAAACGCATCTGCACATTCCGTTCTGACAGTAGAAGATAACATATGTGAATTCATATTTGGAGAAAATCTGAACAAAGACAATACAAAACAACAGAATCTTGAACAAAGAAAATTAGAACAACGAACAAGATAATGAACCCAGATATTTTATAGCATTTTATCACGACATACTTCCATTAACACAGAGGATGATTGCTTATAATTACTTGCTCTGCATCTAAAAGCAATACTTATAACGAGTGATAACATCCAAGGTCGACTGGTATAATTGAGAGAGGAAGAGAGAAGATGTGTATGCAGATAGACAGATAAATATGCAGACACAGATAAATGGAAAGATATGTAAAGAGATAGATAAACAGGTAGACAGAAAGATAGATTAACAGATTGACAGAGGGATATATAGACAGATAGAAACAGAGAGATACATAGATAGGGAGAGATAGAAAGAGAAGTATATATATATATATATATATATATATATATATATATATATATATATATAATATATGTGTGTGTGTGTGTGTGTGTGTGTGTGTGTGTGTGTGTGTGTATGTATGTATATATATATATATATATATATATATAATATATATATATATATATATATATATATAGAGAGAGAGAAGAGAGAGAGAGAGAGAGAGAGAGAGAGAGAGAGAGAGAGAGAGAGAGAGAGAGAGAGAGAGAGAGAGAGAGAGAGATTGACTGACAAGTTCATTAAAGAAAAAGGTAAAAGCAATAAATAACAAAAATGAAAGTGAATGCAATGAACAACGAGAAGGAAGCGGGAATAGGAAAGGGCGGGCAGCGAGAGGAGACCGACGGAGAGGCGTCGCGGCAGAATTAAGACAACACAATTATGCGAGGACAAACCGAGGCCTCCTCCTGAGAGAGCTTAAATGGCCGCAGGTAAAACTCCTGATATTAATACAGGCATCATCGAGTTTTCTTGTAAAAGAGTGAAGCAGGTTACTCCCCTTTTTCACCATCTGTTTTCTTTAGCCTTTCCCGTTTCCCTCTTACTTTTCTAGCCTCTCCCTGTCTCTCTTTTCTGTTTATATGCAATCCCCGTTCCTTTCATTTCATGCCCTACGTAATTTACTATTTTCTACCTTATGTCTATATCGGTTGGTAAATTATTTACACATACAGTACATAATGTATGGATATATTTTTTTACACTTTCCATTCCATTTTACACAGATTCTGTTGATAAATGAGAATATCCAGAATTGGAAATATAACAACTTTTCTGTTTCATATCTATATTTATTAGTTTTAAATGCCGCCGTTGCAACTATAACCAGGTGATCAGAAATAAATATTTTACAAGCAACGTGATATCATAGAAATTAATGAAGAGAGCGAAAAAGAATATGGTGTTTAACGTCAAGAAATGGCTAATCTTAATGGTTAAAACATAGATGTGCTAGACGTCAAATGTCATAAAGCAATTTAACATCAATTAAACGAACAATGATATAAAGAAACCGCCATAGAAACAATCGTGAAAGAAATCATAAGCATGATCAAATTTATCCAAATATATTAAGTAATACACAAGATCAAGAACGCCAAAATCATTGGAATCGGAACTTAGCAGCCAGCGGAGGAAACTCCAAACAAGAAGGGTTCAGCGTCCCTTCCGGAAAGGCGGCGCGCAGGTCTCGTGTTCCGCCGCGATCTCTCCGGCGAGACGATCCTCCCACGGGCTCTCCGCTGCCAGCTGGTCCCTCACCTGTGGGGCAAGGGGCGGCGCCAGAGATTTTATCTTATTTCTTATTTTTTTATTGTTCACTATTTTTTATTATTATCAGTTTTAAGGTATACTATTGCGTAGGGCATTCGCAAGGCTTTCGTGGCTGGCGGGAGATTAGTCGGTCGTTTAGTAGCTTGATTATGAATAGGTGCCAGATTCAACTTCCAGGAATTATATTTTTACCCTAATGGCCTCGATAAGGAAGAGGGCTTTTTTTATTTGTCTTGGATTAAAGAAATTTCAGTGAACCCAAAAATATTCGCTGCATGTGCCAACTATTAAAACCAACCTGTTAATAGCAATGGTAAAACTCGTCATAACAATATTAATAACATAAGTTACTGACAGATCCATAAATGTACAACTGGGTAATTACAAATGAACGTTAAGCTTTTAGAAACAGATATGGTAAAAAAATTACTAGAAACATGATGGCACACATTAGTGACAAAATGCTTCGAAACACACACACACACACCCACAGACACACAAACACACACACACACACAAACACACACACACACACAGAGCTACCCCCTCACCCCCACCCCTCAGGCACTCCCCGCAACCCACCTGCTCCACCTGTCGGAACACCCTGACCAAGTTCAGTCCCGCCAGCTTCTTCAGATCCTCCTCAGCCCAGCGGGAATCCTTCAGCAGTTCGGCGAAGAGGTAAGGGTACTTGCTGGTGTCCTCGAGTCCTTCAGGCAGTCTGGAAGAGGGCGGGAGGCAAGGAAACGGGGAAGAAAGGATGGAAGGAAGGTGGAAGGGACACGATGAAAGAAGAGGAAGAAGAGAAGGGTGATGGAAAGTGGGCAGGAAGGAGGGAAAGAAGGACGGGAGGAAGAGAAGGAATGAGAGAAGGACAAAAAGAAGGAAGGATATAGGAAGAGGAGAATGGAAAGAAGAGGGAAAGAAGGAAAGAGAAAAGGATGGACGGAAGGAAGAGGGAAAGAGGCAAGGAAGGATGGGAAGAAAAGAGAAAGAACAAAGAAGGATGGAAGAAAGAGAGAAGGAAGAAAGGGAAGGAAGGATGGAAGGGAGAAGGAAAATGGGAAGAAATAATAGAAGGAAGAGGGAAAGAGAAGAGGATGGATGGAAGGAAGAAGAAAATGTGGAAGGAAGACGGATAGAGGGATGTAAGAATGGAATGAAGGAGCGAAGGAAAGGAAGAAGGATGGAAGGAAGAGGGAGAGAGGGAATGAAGGATGGAAATAAAGAATAGGAAGAGTGGAAAAAGAAAGAAGGAATGGAGGAGGGAATGAAACGGAAAAGGTGGGAAGGGAGGAAAGATAAAAGGAAAGTAAGTTCATAATGGCAGGATTTGTTTTAATTTTGTTTAATGGATTGCAGTCGTGTGTGTGTGTGTGTGTGTGTGTGTGTGTGTGTGTGTGTGTGTGTGTGTGTGTGTGTGTGTGTGTGTGTGGTGTGTGTGTGTGTGTGTGTGTGTGTGTGTGTGTGTGTGTGTGTGTGTGTGTGTGTGTGTGTGTGTGTGTTATGTGTGTTTAGGGAAAATTGAAATCTCTAATATCAAATTAAAAAAAAAATCCATTCGTGCTCAAAAATAGTAATAATAATAACAAACAATAAGAATAATAACGATTATATTTTAAAAACCACGATAAGATAATTGCCAGCATCGGATTCAGCAATTATTAGAAAATGACAAATCAAAATCCACATTTAAAGAGAGGTGGAGCGCGACGGCTGTTCCACTCACACAGGGGTTCCGTTGTAGTCTCCCCCCAGGCCGATGTGGTCCACCCCGGCCACGTCTCGGATGTGGTTGATGTGGTCTGCTCAAAAAAAAAAAATAATAATAAAAAAAAAAAAAAATAAAGAGAGAGAGAGAGAAGAGAGAGAGAGAGAGAGAGGGAAGGAGGGAGAGAGAGACAGGGAGGGAGGGAGGGAGTGAGAGAGAGAGAGAGAGAGAGAGAAGAGAGAGAGAGAGAGAGAGAGAGAGAGAGAGAGAGAGAGAGAGAGAGAGAGAGAGAGAGAGAGAGAGAGAGAGAGAGAGAGAGAGAGAGAGAGAGAGAGAGAGAGAGAGAGAGAGAGAGAAATGTCAAGTACAAAGGAGGAGAAAAAGGAAAAGAAAAATGCCGGCATCTTAAGGGATCATTAAGCCATTTCGATAACTTTTCTGTTGTCACGTGATTAATCGCAACGCGAGTGTCTATTATAAATATATATATATATATATATATATATATATATATATATATAATATATATATATATATATATATATATATATATTGGATATACTGGAGCATTGTCAGTTTGGGCACATGTATTATTACGAAATTGTGTAAATAGTATTAACAACAGTGTTCTAAGATCATTAAGACATTATAAGACAAAAGTGAAAAAAACTGCACTCACACACATTTTTATATAAAAAAGTTATGGCATAGTCATATACGAATAAAGAAATACCCTAATAAAAAGATATCATATACTAAAACTACCAAAAAAAGAGTTTGTGCTTTAACTATGTAGCACATCAAACCGAAATATATCCACATACGGGGAAAGCAACACAAAACTGAAACATAAATAAATGCAAGAGGTAATTCTGATCACTTTATAGCACATCAAACCGAACTATATCCACATACGGGGAGAGCAACACAACACTGAAATATAAATAAAAACAAGACGTAATTCTGATCAGTGAAGAGACAGACGACCCACCCAAGACGTCCTGAAGCGTCGCCGTCGGACCGCACGACAGGAATCGAGCCACGAAGGTCACCATGACGAGGCCCCCGTTGTCTCGCTGGGGGTGGAGAGAAGACGTGATGATGATGGAGAAAGGAAGGAGAAAAAAGGAGGTGAAGAGGATACTGAGGGAGAGAGGAAAAGCTGGCGGAGGAGAAGGAAGAGAGGAAATGAAGGAGGAGAAGAGTGAGGAGGACAAGGTAGAAGAAGAAGAAAGAGGAGGGAGAAGATGAAAAGGAGGAAGAAGAGGAAGGAAAAGATGGAGGAAGAGGAACATGAAAAGTAGGAAGGTGAAAAAATTAAGGAAGAGGAAGAACAAGAGAAGGAAGAGGATTCAGAACAGGGAAAAGGAAAAGATGAAAACGAAGAAGAGAAAACAGAAAAGGAAGATGATGAACACCAGACCCCTGAGCTACCCCCCAACCCCAACCCCCCTGCAGATACCCACCACCCGAAAGGGACGCCAAGACACTCACCACCTTCAGGAGAACATCATCGGGGACGTTCCTGGAGTCGTTGCAGAGGGCGCGGGCGGAGGAGTGGGAGAAGATGACGGGCGCGCGGGTGACACGAAGGGCGTCGCGCATGGTGGCGGGCGCGACGTGGGAGAGGTCCACCAGCATCCCCAGACGGTTCATCTCCTTCACGACGATCTGGGGTGGAGGAGAAGAGGCGAAGAAGGTAGAGGAAGCAGAGAGGAGAAGAGGTGGAGAGGAGAGGAAACAGAAGGGAGAAGAGGAGGAGAGGCGAGGAAGGTAGAGGAAGCAGAGAGGAGAAGAGGTGGAGAGGAGAGGAAACAGAAGGGAGAAGAGGCGAAGAAGGTAGAGGAAGCAGAGAGGAGAAGAGGTGGAGAGGAGAGGAAACAGAAGAGAGAAGAGGAGGAGAGGCGAGGAAGGTAGAGGGAGTAGAGAGGAGAAGAGGTGGAGAGGAGAGGAAACAGAAAGGAGAAGAGGCGAAGAAGGTAGAGGAAGCAGAGAGGAGAAGAGGTGGAGAGGAGAGGAAACAGAAAGGAGAAGAGGCGAAGAAGGTAGAGGAAGCAGAGAGGAGAAGAGGTGGAGAGGAGAGGAAACAGAAAGGAGAAGAGGCGAAGAAGGTAGAGGAAGCAGAGAGGAGAAAGGTGAGAGAGAGGAAACAGAAGGGAGAAGAGAGCAGAGGCGAGGAAGCAGAGAGAGAAAGGTGGAGAGGAGAGGAAACAGAAGGGAGAAGAGGCGAAGAAGGTGGAGGAAGCAGAGAGGAGAAGAGGTGGAGAGGAGAGGAAACAGAAAGGAGAAGAGGCGAAGAAGGTAGAGGAAGCAGAGAGGAGAAGAGGTGAGAGGAGAGGGGAGAAGAGGCGAAGAAGGTAGATGAAACAGAGAGGAGAAGAGGTGAAGAGGAGAGGAAACAGAAGGGAGAAGAGGCGAAGAAGGTAGAGGAAGCAGAGAGGAGAAGAGGTGGAGAGGAGAGGAAACAGAAATGAGAAGAGGCGAAGAAGGTGGAGGAAGCAGAGAGGAGAGGAAACAGAAGGGAGAAGAGGCGAAGAAGGTAGAGGAAGCAGAGAGGAGAAGAGGTGGAGAGGAGAGGAAACAGAAGGGAGAAGAGGAGGAGAGGCGAGGCAGGTAGAGGAAGCAGAGAGGAGAAGAGGTGGAGAGGAGAGGAAACAGAAGGGAGAAGAGGCGAAGAAGGTAGAGGAAGCAGAGAGGAGAAAAGGTGAGAGGAGAGGAAACAGAAGGGAGAAGAGGAGGAGAGGCGAGGAAGCAGAGAGGAGAAGAGGTGGAGAGGAGAGGAAACAGAAGGGAGAAGAGGCGAAGAAGGTAGATGAAACAGAGAGGAGAAGAGGTGAAGAGGAGAGGAAACAGAAGTGAGAAGAGGAGGAGAGGCGAGGAAGCAGAGAGGAGAATAGGTGGAGAGGAGAGGAAACAGAAATGAGAAGAGGCGAAGAAGGTAGAGGAAGCAGAGAGGAGAAGAGGTGGAGAGGAGAGGAAACAGAAAGGAGAAGAGGCGAAGAAGGTAGAGGAAGCAGAGAGGAGAAAAGGTGGAGAGGAGAGGAAACAGAAGGGAGAAGAGGAGGAGAGGCGAGGAAGCAGAGAGGAGAGGAAACAGAAGGGAGAAGAGGCGAAGAGGAACAGAAGAAGAGGAGAGGAAAAGAAAGGAGAAGAGGCGAAGAAGGTAGAGGAAGCAGAGAGGAGAAGAGGTGGGAGGAGAGGAAACAGAAAGGAGAAGAGGCGAAGGTAGATGAAACAAGAGAGGAGAAGAGGTGGAGAGGAGAGGAAACAGAAAGGAGAAGAGGCGAAGAGGTAGAGGAAGCAGAGAGGAGAAGAGGTGGAGAGGAGAGGAAAAGAAAGGGAGAAGAGGCGAAGAAGGTAGAGGGAAGCAGAGAGGAGAAGAAGGTGGAGAGGAGAGGAAACAGAAGGGAGAAGAGGAGGAGAGGGCGAGAAAAGAGGAAGTGAGAAGAAGGTGGAGAGGAGAGGAAACAGAAGGGAGAAGAGGCGAAGAAGGTAGAGGAAAAGAGAGGAGAAGAGGTGAAGAGGAGAGGAAACGAGAAAGGAGGAGAGGCGAGGACAGCAGAGAGGAGAATAGGATGGAGAGGAGAGTGAAACAGAAGGAGAAGAGGCGAAGAAGGTAGAGAAATCAAAGAGGAGAAGAGGAAAGGAGAGGAGAGAAAAGGACAGGAAAGAGAAGGAGAAGGTGAAAAACAAGAGAAAGAAGAGAAACAGAAGGGAGAAGAGAGCGAAAAGAAGGGAGAGGAAGCAGAGAGGAGAAGGAGAGGAGAGGAAACAGAAGGGAGAAGAGGCGAGAAGGTAGAGGAAGAGGAGAGAAGAGGTAGGAGGAGAGGAGGAAGCAGGGCAGAGAGAGGTGGAGAGGAGAGGAAACAGAAAGGGAGAAGAGGCGAGAGGAATAAACAGAGAGGAGAAGAGGCTTGAAGAGGAGAGGAAACAGAACGGAGAAGGAGGAGAGGCGAGAAGGTAGAGGAAGCAGAGACGGAGAAGAGGTGGAGAGGAGAGGAAACAGAAGGCGAGAAGAGGCGAGAACGTAGAGAAGCAGAGAGGAGGGAGAGGAAACAGAGGCGAACAGAAGCGAGAGCAAGAGAGAGACAGAAGGCGAGGCAGAGAGGAAGCAGAAGGAGAAGGGGTGGAGAGGAAGCAGAAGAGGCGAAGAAAGTAGGAAGCAGAGAGGAGAGGAGAGGAAACAAGAAGGAGAAGAGGAGGAGAGGCGAGGGAAGCAAGAGAGAGAAAGAGATGGAGAGGAGAGGAAACAGAAGGGAGAAGAGGGAGAGAGGCGATGAACAGAGAGGAGAAGAGGTGAAGAGAGAGGAGAAGGAGAGAGCGAGAGGTAGAGGAAGCCAGAGAGGAGAAGAGGTGGAGAGGAGAGGAGAGGAAACAGAATGAAACAGGAGAAGAGGAGAGAGGCAGGAAAGGAGAAGCCGAAGAAGGGAGAAGAAGCAGAAGATGGAGAGGAGAGGAAACAAGAAGGGAGAAGAGGCGAAGAGTAGAGGAAGCAGAGAGGAGAAGAGGTGGAGAGGAGAGGAAACAGAGAGGGAGAAGAGGGAAGCAGAGAGGAGAAGAGGTGGAGATGAGAGAACAGAAGGCGAGAAGAGGCGAAGAAGGAAGGAAGCAGAGAGGAGAACAAAGGTGGAGAGGAGAGGAACAGAAGAGAGAAGAGGAGGAGAGGCGAGGAAGGTAGAGGGAGAGAATGGAGACAAGAGGTGGAGAGGAGAGGAAGAGGCGAGAAGGGTAGAGGTGAAAGCAGAGGAGAAGAGGTGGAGGAGAGAAACAGAAGGAGAAGAGGAGGAAGAGGCGACGGAAGCAGAGAGGAGAATAGGTGGAGAGGAGAGGAAACAGAAGGGAGAAGAGGCGAAGAAGGTAGGGAATCAAGCAGGAGAAAGAGTGGAGAGGAGAGGAAACAGAAGGGAGAAGAGGAGGAGAGGCGAAGAAGCAGAGAGAAGAGGTGGAGAGGAGAGGAAACAGAAGGGAGAAGAGGCGAAGAAGGTAGAGGAAGCAGAGAGGATAAGAGGTGGAGAGGAGAGGAAACAGAAGGGAGAAGAGGCGAAGAAGAGTTAGAGGAAGCAGAGGGAGGAAGCAGGTGGAGAGGAGAGGAAACAGAAGGGAGAAGAGGAGGAAGAGGCGAGGAAGCAAGAGAGGAAAAGATCGAGGAGAAGAGGTGAGATGAGGGAACAGAAGGAGAAGAGAGCGAAGGAGGTAGTTGGAAGCAGTAGAGGAGAAGAGGTGGAGAGAGAGCCGAACAGAAATGAGTAGAGGCGAAGAAGGGTGGAGGAAGCAGGAGAGGAAACAGAAGGGAGAAGAGAGGAGAGCGAGGAAGGTAGAGGAAGGCAAGGGAGGAAAGAGGTGGAGAGGAGAAGGAAACAGCAAGGGAAGAAGAGCGAAGAAGTAAGAGGAACGCAGAGAGGAGAAGAGGTGGAGTAGGAGGAACCAGAAAGAGAGAAGAGAGGAGAGGCGAGTGGCAAGGTAGAGAAGCCAGAGAGGACCAAATGGAGAGGAGAGCAAACCAGAAAAGGGGAGAAGAGGCGAGAGTAGAGAGAAGCATGAAGGAGAAGAGGGTGGCAGAGGAGGACCGCCAGAGAGGCAGAAGAGAAGGTGGAGAGAGGAAAAGAAGAAGAGGCGAAGAAAGAAAAGGACGAAACAGGTGAAGGAGAGAACAGATAGGAGAGGAGAGCCAAAGAGGCGTAGGACAGCAGAGAGGAGAAAAGGTGGTAGAGGAGAGGAAACCAGAAGGGATGCAGAGGCGAGAAGGTGGGAGGAAGGCAGAGAGGAGAAGAGGTGGCAGAGAGAGGAAACAGAAAGGGGAGAAAGGCCGGAAGAAGTAGGGAGGAAAAAGCAGAGAGGAGAAGATGCGTGGAGAGGAGAGGAAACAGGAAAGGAGAAGAGGCGAAAAGGTAGATGAAACAGAGAGGGACAGAGGTGAAGAGGAGAGGAAACAGAAGGGAGAAGAGGCCGGAAGAAGGTAGCAGAAGCAGAGAGGAAGAAGGGTGCGAGAGGAGAGGAACAGAATGAGAAGAGGCGTAAAAGGTGGAGGACGCAGAGGAGGAGGAGGAAACAGAAGGGAGAAGAGGCGAAGAAGGCTTAGAGGAAGTAGATCGAGAGGAGAAGAGGTGGGAGAGGAGAGAAGAACAGAAGGGAAGAAGAGTAGGAGAGCCGAGTGCACGGTAGAGGAAGCAGAGAGGAGAAGAGTGGAGAGGAGAGGAAACAGAAGCGGAGAAGAGGCGAAGAAGGTAGAGGAAGCACGAGAGGAGAAAAGGTTTGGAGAGAGAGGACACAGAAGTGGAGAAGATGAGGAGAGGCCGAGGAAGCAGAGAGGTGAAGAGGTGGAGAGGAGAGGAAACAGAAGGTCGAGAAGAGGCGAGAAGGTAAATGAAAACAGAGAGGAGAAATGGTGAAGAGGAGAGGGAAACAGAAGTGAGAAGAGGGAGAGGCGAGGAAGCAGAGAGGCGAATAGGTGGAGAGGAGAGGAAACAGAATTGAGAGATGCGAAGCGAAGGTAGAGGGAAGCAGAGAGAGAGAGGTGGATGAGGAAGTGAGGAAACGAAAGGAAAGAAGAGGCGAAGAGGTAGAGGAAAGCAGGAGAGGGAGAAAAGGTGTGAGAGGAGAGGAAACAAGAAGGGAGAAGAGGAGAGAGCGAGGAAGCAGAGGGAGAGGAAAACATTAAGGGAGGAAAGAGGTGCGAAGAAGTGGAGTAAGGAAGCAGAGAGGAGAAGAGGGAAGAGGGAGGAAACAGAGGAGAAGAGGCGAAGAAGGGTTAGAGGAAAGCGAGAGGAGAAGAGGTGGAGAGGAGAGGAAACAGAAAGGAGAAGAGGCGAAGAAGGTAGATGAAACAGAGAGGAGAAGAGGTGAAGAGGAGAGGAAACAGAAAGGAGAAGAGGCGAAGAAGGTAGAGGAAGCAGATGAGGAGGACAGAGGGGAGAGGAGAGGGGAAAACAGAAGGGAGAAGAGGCCGAGAAGGTGAGGAAGCAGAGAGGAGAAGAGGTGGAGAAGGAGAGGAAAACAGAAAGGGAGAAAGAGTGAGGAGAGGCGAGGCAGGTGAGGTGGAGAGGAGAGGAAACAGAAAGGCGAGAAAGGTAGAGAAGCGAGGAGAAGGTGGAGAGGAAGAGCTAGAAGAGGAGAAGAGGAGGAGAGGCGCAGCAAGCAGAGAGGACGATAGAGATGGAGAGGAGAGGAAACAGAAGGGATGAAGAGGCGTAAGAAGAAGGTTAGACTGAAACAGAGAGGAAGAGGTTGAAGAGGTGAGGAAACAGCAAAGGAGAGAGGCGAAGAGTAGAGGAAGCAGAGAGCGAGAGATGGGCGAGAGGAGAGGAAACAGAAAGGAAAGAGAAGAGGCCCGAATGAAGGTAGTATGGAAACAGAGAGGAGAGAGGGGTGAAGGGAGGAGAGGCTGAAACAGAATAGGAGGAAGAGGCGAAGAAGGTAGGAGGGAAAGCCAGAGAGGGAAGAGGTGGAGAGGAGAGGAAACAGAAGGGAGAAGAGGCGAAGAAGGTTAGAGAAGGCAGAGAGGGAGGAAATGAGGATGGGAGAGGAGAGGAAACAGGAAGGGGAAGAAGAGAGGAGAGCGAGAGGTAGAGGAAGGCAGAAGGAGAAGGGTTGACGGGAGAGGGAAACCAGGAAGGGAGAGAGGCGAAGAAGGTAGAGGAAGCAGAGAGGATAAAGGTGGAGAGGAGAGGAGCAACAGAAGGGAAAGAAGAGGAGGAGAGGCGGGAAGAGATGAGGAGAAGAGTGGAGAGGAATGAGAAACCCAGAAGGGAGAAGAGCCGAAGAAAGGTAGTATTGAAACCGAGAGGAGAAGAGGTGAAGAGGATTGAGGAAACAGAAGTTTGAGGAAGAGGAGGAGAGGGCGAGGAAGCAGAGAGGAGAATAGGGGAGAGGAGCAGGAAAACAGAAGGGAGAAGAG